TTTATCAGATTGGAATAATAGTAATTGATAATCGAATTTCATTGTAAACATGAATTTTTTTACCGGATCTTTCTGCATTCATGACTTGTAAAAATTCTCACAAAATACTATAATGCAAAGTTCAATAACACTTAACATGATTTTTATTTACTTCTGCTGATAAAAGATAAATAATAGTAATACTTAAATAGTACTTAAATAGTAAATACGTAGAACTTTATTTAACAGTAAATTAATAGAACCTATAAACAGCAAAATATTATTTTTTAATATTACCACGAACAATATTCTGCTTAATTTCGCTTTCCGAAAATTTGTTTACGGAAACGAAAAACTACATAAATATCCACAGGCTGCATATAACGCTAATATTTATACAATTCCGTGTGATTGTAATATCAATATTGATTGGATTGAAATATCAATCCAAATGAATTGCCCGCGATCGGAGAAATGCACGGGAACATGCGGGACGCAGAATATCACGGGGAGTGATTTCCAAAGAGCCCCGAGTCGAAGGAGCATTCCGGTTCGAAAAGTATTAAGGGCGTCTCACCCCCGATGCCGGGGCGTTTAACTCTCCGATTGCTTTGACAACTTAAGCAGGCCCTTAAACCTTGCTTGAACCTCGATGTAATTTATAAGCGACCGAGGGGGTAATTCCGCTGGGGACCGTCAAACTGCCATGTGGCAAAACCCCCGAGGGAAAGTCAGGGATTATGCGGTGATAAATAAATATGTACGTTTATGCAACAACCACCGTGACCCGGGGAATCCAGTACACATTGAACGCTAACAGGCGTGTAGCAAGTCAAATTTCGATTCGGTGGGATTCTCCGTGCACCCTCCGTTAAATAAACAGAAATTAAAGCCGTTCAGGGTTCGTGATCTCTGACCTTGAACACCGAGGAAACCTAAAGTATCTTCCACGGATCAAGATCTCAGGAATCCCTATGCCCATCTGGCACCCTAATTAATTGTTCTATTTGCAAACAATATCGACTAATTGGTTCTCGCTTCATCCATTTAACAATTATTGCGAATACTTCGAAATTTTATAAAAACATGTAACGTTGCTTATTGTATATTTTTGTATACAACATTATTCCACCATATTATATTTTATATATTATATTTTATATATATACAATTTTATATACAATAACCATAATAATACGGTATACATATAATAGTAATATATATATATATATTACTATTATATGTATACCGTATTATTATGGTTATTGTATATAAAATTGTATATATATAAAATATAATATATAAAATATAATATGGTGGAATAATGTNTTATTAATAGTAATATATATTAATATATATTAATATTAATATATTATATTATATTATATTAATTATATTATATTAATTATTATTATATTATATTATATTATATTAATAGTAATATATATATATTACTATTATATGTATACCGTATTATTATGGTTATTGTAAATATGTAGATTTAGAAAAAAACGATTGCAAGTTAGTCTCGAAGAAAAGCATGTGCGGATGAAGAGATTAATTTTAAACGATTGATATTATTAATTTGTAATATAATGAACGGCGTTTAACACGTTCGTGGATAGTAAAAAATGTTTAAAATAGACACCTACGTAAAATCGAATGCACGATAAGGTGGCTAATAAATTTGAATGTTCCAGCGTTCGTGTTATTTTGCATCCGAATGAAAATGAATGGTATATAAGCATCCTCGTCCGCGCGAACGTGTTAAAATGGCGACTCGATCGTAAATCGCTTCGATCAACGACGAAAGCAACTTGCCCTATCCGATCAACATTTGGAGAGGAAATCAATCTGGAAAGATACTGATGCATGTATAGTTTTATTACAAGTAGTTACGCAATCGTTACAATATATGTCACGTGACTCGGTACCTAGACTTTTACAGCAAATAGTATCACAACACGAAATATGCAAGAAAAGCACAGACGAAGTTGTCTTTACAATTGTCGTAGAACTCATACCTATTACTCGTACATTGAAATGCTTATATCGAATAATACAAGAACGAAAACGAGATACAGAACGAACGTAAACCCCACGGGTTACTCTATTTGCCTCCCTCTGGAACAAAATTTTCGTCAGACTTTCGTACAAAATCGTTTCGGGGGAAACGCCTGAAAACGATCAAACAAAACGAGTTGGTCAACACGTCGAACCTAGCGTTCGATAAACATTTCTATAATAAATAAATGTGTGTATGTATATATATATATATATATTTTTTAATTTCTATCGTTCTTACATCGCGATCGAGTTTGTCGCCCGTTCGCCTTAGATACCGTTGAATTGTTATCTAAATACTGTATGCGTCGATGCGTTACCTTTCTCGAAGTATCCGTCGTTAATCGATCCCGATCTAGCGAGGATCAACGCTCTCCAGACGGGATCGCGAGTCGAAGGGTCATGCTTTGGGGCTTCGTCCTTAGGCCAAACCTTTTTCAACCGTGGCGACGATCGACCACGATCGATCCAGCTCGCGTGTTTCATCGGCGCGACATTTTCATTCGTTTCCTAATCGTTCGTTCGTTCGTTCGTTCGTCTGTTTCTCGAGCGAAGAGTATTTTCGCGACAACACTGTACCCGACTCGATACTTCTTTCGTCTTCGTGTTCCAGGAATGAACGGGTCGGTTCGACGAAAAACTTTGCGTCGAACTCTGATAATGTTCCAGCTTCCCTTGACATCGTACCGTCAAAACGTCGTCTAAGCACGAATGAGTCGAATGCATCACAGAAATAGTTTAAAACATTCTCCAATGGAGATGGTTATCACTCACTTCTGAAGTGGCACTGTACGTTGTCAGTTGTTCAACAACCAACAACATCTGTTCTTGATAACTGTCGGAACAACGTTCCCGATGGGTGATCCTCGTTAAACGACTGCTCTTAATTTTTGTACATGTCGCACAAGACTTTCTCCATTGGAGTATTGCCGATCGTTCTGTGAAAATAAATTAGTTCTACACGAGACGCCGGCACCGTCCTCAACAACGGCAGCAGCAGCAACAACCTGCCGAATCGTGCTGGATTGCCTGGTTGCTGAGCTCTGGCGTGTTGGCCTAACATCACTTGCGCTTGATCCTGCAGGTTCTCTATCTGGCTTGAATCTTTCAAACCGCGGGTTTCTGCAACAGAAGTTGGAGTTTTTGCGATTTTTAGCTTGCAAACGCTTTTCCCGTGAAAATTCTCGGCCGATTTTTACTGTCGTTGCGCATATTTTATGCGATACGTTGTCTTGAAAACTAGACACGATGGTGTGCATTATTATAGATATATATACATATATAATAATGCACACCATCGTATGTCTAGTTTTCAAGATATATATATATATTTCTATATATATTTCTATATTATATTTTATATATATTTCTATATATATTTCTATATATATAGATATATATGTTACATCGTTAGCAATATTTAAACGAAAACTTAACAAAATACCATATTTGTATATTTTTGTATTAGAAATAATAGAGAATAGAATTGTAATAATACTACATTTTGTTAAGTTTTTTTTTTTTAATATCAAGGGTGACTTGTATATTTTTACTGACGTTCAAACAGAAACTAAAAAAAAGCTATATTTCCATATTCTTATTTTCTATTATTTCTAAATATTTGTTTAAATACTACTAAAGGTGTAAAAGTTGGTACAGTGGCTTACAAAAGTGGTCACACACTATTCAGGACTGAATAACTTATCAAAATTGGACCGAATGATTTCTACTTTTTTGAGATGTTAGAGAGTTTGCTGGATGGTGTCTACATTTTTTTTTTAAACTTTAATTTCTTGATATGGCGATACAAAATGAACACGTTCATCTGAGCCTTCAACAAAAATAAAAAGAAAACGATCTTTTACCGATTTTAACGAAATATAAGTATGCATGTAAGTTACCGGGATCTATAAAGCGCAATTTTTTAATTTTCGTTTCACCATTTTTTTAAATTTTTGTATCGTTCCAACCAACTACAATGTTTCAAACGATTCTTTTTTAGCCGTTTTCTAATAAATTGATCCCTCTAACATCACAAAAAAGACAAATTATTCGGTATTTATAAATTAAGCACTTTATGGAAAATTATTAAATACAAAAGTACCATGGTTTCAAATGAGACAAATGACGCCATATCTGTTTTTATATTTAACTATTTTTCACAAGACACATACTTTAAAAAGTATTAATGTAATAATAATACGAAATAGTCTTAAATACTTCCCTCGAAACTACTTTTCAGAATTGTCACTTTTTTTCAAAACTAAGAATTTCTCATTACTTTCCATAAAAATAGGATAAAGCAAACTCATGAAAAAACGATATCCATTGAATTTTCAATTTGAAATAATTGCAAACGACTGTACTGTACGACTTATCGAACAGTTACAGACAACTTTGCATACAAAAAGACAACACACAAATATTATATTTATTTCAACATATTATTATTTTCTGTCAATGAAATAAAAATTCCAGAAGATTGACCCTAGGACCAAAGTATAAATCACGTTATTTGACCATCTAGTTTCTGACGATTTATTTAAATTTCCACGTTTCATTATCTGCCAAAAAATTAAGATGTTCAGAAGGTGACCGTAAAAAATATGTTTAATAAAATTGATAAACAAGATTGCCAAATAAAATTATAAACGATCCCAAGCGTACTAATTGTAAGTTACATTCTTGTAAAAAAAGGTTCGTCCTTCGAGCGTTAACTACTAAGTTTCAACTTGTCACGCAAGGCACTTCGAATTGCGCGTGTATCCGTTTATTTGATGAAGTATTATTAACACGTTCCGTGCCGAGCTTTTTTTACTCGAATCTTCACACTTTGATATCTGTCTCTTATACACATCTAGATGTGTATAAGAGACAACTATAGTAGCCTTCCATATGATGCCACTGAAGGATTACGGGCCACTATAGTGACCCTCCATAAGATGCCACTGAGGTACTGTGGGCCACTATAGTAGCCTTCCATATGATGCCACTGAAGGATTACGGGCCACTATAGTGACCCTCCATAAGATGCCACTGAGGTACTGTGGGCCACTATAGTAGCCTTCCATATGATGCCACTGAAGGATTACGGGCCACTATAGTGACCCTCCATAAGATGCCACTGAGGTACTGTGGGCCACTATAGTAGCCTTCCATATGATGCCACTGAAGGATTACGGGCCACTATAGTGACCCTCCATAAGATGCCACTGAGGTACTGTGGGCCACTATAGTAGCCTTCCATATGATGCCACTGAAGGATTACGGGCCACTATAGTGACCCTCCATAAGATGCCACTGAGGTACTGTGGGCCACTATAGTAGCCTTCCATATGATGCCACTGAAGGATTACGGGCCACTATAGTGACCCTCCATAAGATGCCACTGAGGTACTGTGGGCCACTATAGTAGCCTTCCATATGATGCCACTGAAGGATTACGGGCCACTATAGTGACCCTCCATAAGATGCCACTGAGGTACTGTGGGCCACTATAGTAGCCTTCCATATGATGCCACTGAAGGATTACGGGCCACTATAGTGACCCTCCATAAGATGCCACTGAGGTACTGTGGGCCACTATAGTAGCCTTCCATATGATGCCACTGAAGGATTACGGGCCACTATAGTGACCCTCCATAAGATGCCACTGAGGTACTGTGGGCCACTATAGTAGCCTTCCATATGATGCCACTGAAGGATTACGGGCCACTATAGTGACCCTCCATAAGATGCCACTGAGGTACTGTGGGCCACTATAGTAGCCTTCCATATGATGCCACTGAAGGATTACGGGCCACTATAGTGACCCTCCATAAGATGCCACTGAGGTACTGTGGGCCACTATAGTAGCCTTCCATATGATGCCACTGAAGGATTACGGGCCACTATAGTGACCCTCCATAAGATGCCACTGAGGTACTGTGGGCCACTATAGTAGCCTTCCATATGATGCCACTGAAGGATTACGGGCCACTATAGTGACCCTCCATAAGATGCCACTGAGGTACTGTGGGCCACTATAGTAGCCTTCCATATGATGCCACTGAAGGATTACGGGCCACTATAGTGACCCTCCATAAGATGCCACTGAGGTACTGTGGGCCACTATAGTAGCCTTCCATATGATGCCACTGAAGGATTACGGGCCACTATAGTGACCCTCCATAAGATGCCACTGAGGTACTGTGGGCCACTATAGTAGCCTTCCATATGATGCCACTGAAGGATTACGGGCCACTATAGTGACCCTCCATAAGATGCCACTGAGGTACTGTGGGCCACTATAGTAGCCTTCCATATGATGCCACTGAAGGATTACGGGCCACTATAGTGACCCTCCATAAGATGCCACTGAGGTACTGTGGGCCACTATAGTAGCCTTCCATATGATGCCACTGAAGGATTACGGGCCACTATAGTGGCCCGTAATCCTTCAGTGGCATCATATGGAAGGCTACTATAGTTGTCTCTTATACACATCTAGATGTGTATAAGAGACAGGTACCATCGATGGTACACGTGGCACAGAACGTGTTAACCGTATTAGGAAACTCACTTAGGATCATGGAAGAAAGCTACTAACCTGGTCTGAAGAGAACAATTGCTTTCATGCAGGCGAACTCCGCAGGATCGACCATGACTGCCTTGTATCTCTGCAGAGTGTCGTGCAAATGCCTAACATCCGCTGCCACTTGGCTCGGTTTGCCAGTGGCGGTCTGCATGTGGATTCCGGAATGCGGGTGTGGCTGCGGCGATAAAGTCAACGCCGTGAGTTCTGCAGAGTTGAAAAGGGGCGACGACTCGAGTGGAAGGCACCACTGCACTGCGTTCAGAAGAAAAAGCTCGGACCAAGCCTCTTCGAGAAGTATCACCTGGCGCGGATACAGAGATCATTCAGACTTTCTCATATTTCGTAAGAGCCTAACAGTGTGCTGTTTCGTTTTCGATATCGTTACTTCTTCGTGGCAACGTTGGTTGCACTCTTTCTACGATAACTTGTCGCGTTAGCTTAACCCTTAATTGGTGCAATGATTTTTACGAAAGTGATTAGTATGCTGGAATCATTATAGACCCTAAGTAAAACAAGTGTAAGAAGATGCGAATTTTCTCAGACCCCACTTATTAATCATCCGGAATCTATTCTATTAGGAAGTACAGTAAATTCTCCCCAATTGTCTTTCAGCTAGTACACAAAAAATGGACAATTTTTTTTATAGAATTTTTATGGAAACATAACCTTGACGAAATTATAGAACTATTATTAACTAAATTATTTAGTTATTAAATTACTATTATTAACTAATTATTAACTAAAAACTATGTATAGCAATAAGTCAACGACTGATATTTAACGATTAATATTTTGTGGTTCCTCCTTTATATTTCATAACAGCCACCATTCTCTTCTTGGCAAAGATTTGGAGGGTTCTTTAATAGCTTTTTGCTCTAACTGTTCCAAATCGCTTTGTGGGGAATTATATTCATATGCGAAAGAAATAACTTGTCATATACAGTAAATTCTCTCCAATCGTCCCCTAGCTTGTATATAGAAATGGACAATTTGGGAACAGGAGTTACGATCTTTCAAGCCTCTTCGCAAGCTGAGGGACAATTTAAGGAGAGTTTTTACTGTAGTAATATTAAATCAAATATAAAATGGACACGATTGGTCTGTTTAAGTAGAGTTTGAGGTAAAAGTGTATTGATAGAATTTTTGTGAAATATAAAGTTTTTATCTTCACAGTACCATCATTGTCAGTAGGGATGTTATGTTCCCAGAGAGAGAAGGCACAGATTTAATCTAATTACAGATAAACAATCCATTGTATTTTACTGTTAGCTAGCGTATGAAACAATAAAAATATGCAAAATTAAAGCCTGATCATAAAATAAAATGGTAATACAATGTTGGAGTGATTTATGACGCCGGGATACCAATTAAAGGTTAAATGTTTATTGGAACGACAAACAACATGGAACCATCAATAACGTTGTGATGCCATTATCGGACTGTGAAGTTTAATAAAATTATGTTTGTAAAGATTTTTTGAATATAACGAAACATTGATACAAGACTCGGGCAATCGATTGTACTTTCAGAGATCAATGTAAAAATCTTTCAATTTGCTTGAATGCCTTTTGATTTTCGTTCATTTAAATTTTATTCAAAATTAATTTCTACATTTTCATAGATCGGTAAACATTGATTTGATTGCGAACTGAATAAAAGTAAGATTGCAGTAAGAGAGAAACAGAGGATTGCTTTTATTATAATAAAAGCAATTATTATAATAAATAAATATTATTATAATAAAAATTATATATTATATATAATATATAATTTTAATATATTTCGTTAGAATTTGTAAGAACACTTTCGTCCTTAAAATCTTGCCAACAAACCTGATCTCTAAAGGGTAAGCTTGCGAAAGACGGAAGATTCTTCGCCCATTTGACGGCCATAAAAAGTAGTCTCGCGCTGGTTTCATAAACTGTTTCGGCACTGGCAGGCGAGTACAATGACGGGATCACAGGCGGAAGTTGCGTACACCCGCTTCTTTGAGGTGTCAATGGTTCCTCGTTAGTCACGTCTATGCTATCCTCGGATGCGTTTCCTGTTTGTCGAAATGAAAGACCTTATTAAAGCGAGTCACATGACACGAACCTAGAATCAACGAACAAAATGATCTATAGGATTCCTGGGAGTTTTATAGAGAGAGAGAGAGAGAGAGAGAGAGAGAGAGAGAGAGAGAGAGAGAGAGAGAGAGAGAGACAGAGACAGAGAGAGAGAGAGAGAGAGAGAGGGAGGGAGAGAGAGAGAGAATTGTAACTGTAAAAATTAATCGATCATCTCCAATAGTATAAAAATCGGGGATTAAAAAAGGTTCCGAAAACAACCGTTTCGAACTGTTCTACGTGTATCGGTGCTGGCTGAAACAGTTCTGGAGAAACGAAAAATCTCATAGCTGTTATGAGGTGTAGCGATTTTGGCTCTTATATCGATTTCGTTTTCGTTTTCTTCGGAAAATCAGGTCTACAGTGCGTTCCAAAAATGTTGTAAGCCTTTGAAAGAGCTGATTCCTAAGACGATTTGATGCACGGTAGAACTCCGCTTATCCGAACTCGATTTATTCGAACGAAATTNGAGAGAGAGAGAGAGAGAGACAGAGACAGAGAGAGAGAGAGAGAGAGAGAGGGAGGGAGAGAGAGAGAGAATTGTAACTGTAAAAATTAATCGATCATCTCCAATAGTATAAAAATCGGGGATTAAAAAAGGTTCCGAAAACAACCGTTTCGAACTGTTCTACGTGTATCGGTGCTGGCTGAAACAGTTCTGGAGAAACGAAAAATCTCATAGCTGTTATGAGGTGTAGCGATTTTGGCTCTTATATCGATTTCGTTTTCGTTTTCTTCGGAAAATCAGGTCTACAGTGCGTTCCAAAAATGTTGTAAGCCTTTGAAAGAGCTGATTCCTAAGACGATTTGATGCACGGTAGAACTCCGCTTATCCGAACTCGATTTATTCGAACGAAATTTTGGGCAATGTCCGATTTAATGAACTTCTGTGTTGAACTCCTATTATTTGAGCTACGGCCGAGCGTTTTACTCCAATTATGTGAACACCAATGGCAATCATCTGAGAAATAAATTAAGTGTGTGGTTAAATCCATTTATCTTAACGCGAATTCATTTGAACGGATGATCAGCACACTGCTATTATATAAACCTACCCGATTACATGGACCGATTGTCTCCCCCAGAGTTCATATAAATGGAGTTCCATCGTAACATTTACCTTAGCAAAAATGTTGATTACGGTTTCGTTAAAGCCAGTTTAAGAAGTTATTTTAAGTCATCATCAAAATCGCACTTTTCAAGGGCTTATAATATTTTGGGACACCGTGTATAATTGTTATTTTTTGGTTCTACGTTTTGAACGTGTGCAGTTCAATTATAGTTTTATTTTCAATAAATACACTCTGTTTCCTTTAGGTATTGACGGATACGGATTCTATATTTAACACTGAACAACGATGTGAGAAGATTGTATTTATTTATACCTCTCAACACTTTTATCACAATATATAAATTATGATTCAGAAATGTGTTCAATCGTTTTCTGTGAAAGCGTCTTTAGAATGTTAACAATGTTGAAGCATAAAATGTCATATTCCAAAAATGTCAAAAATCATATTTTTGTAATATATATATATATATATTTGTAATATTGCCAGTGTTGCGGTTAAAGCTAACGGATCCTTTTGCCCATACATGGTGTTCCAGCATCGGTGATACGATCGAGGAGGGGTTCTCTACAAAAATACAGATCGAACATGAAACATAAAATCTTTTTTCAGTTGAGGCTTTTTCTTCGCGAAAATCGACTTTCAATATTTAGCATTTTCAATAACTTTTGTGTTGATAAAGTAAGTTAGTAACTAAATTACATGTGTCTCATTTTCATTTAAAACTACTCTAAATTCATAGACAGAAATGAGCAACACAGCACATCATGTCAATGCAAATAAACGTAGTATTTATAATCGTTTTCTCGACAACGATGCCTCAAATAAAAAGATTTTATTCCTTATTTTCGATTTGTTTTCTTTTTTCATATAGAGTCATACCCTGGAATGCTGGACATTCTGTACAGTACCGATTCTGAAAAAGCAGAACTGGTTGTAGATAATGTATGAGATTTTTCGGTTATCCATATCGGTTTCAACAATTCGAACCAATATCATGATTGTTTTCAACCCCTTATAAAAACTACGTAAATGTGAAAAATTAAGAAAATCTTTAGACAATAATGGATAGATACCATCCGCGTTATCCTGTCTAGGGGATGCCGGAGGGTTCGTCGAATTTGTTGTCGGCGCTACGGTGGGCAAAGGCAGTGGTGTCGTGTATCTCGCCATAGCTAAAGACACAGGTGGCCTGAAACATCATATTTTCACGAATTTTATTCGAAACTGTGACCAAATGTTTTCCCATATCTTATCGTCTTTTACGAGTATAGTAAATTGTCCCTAATTGACGCGCTCAGATTGTACATAAAAATGAACAATTTGGGAAGACGAGATACGATTGTTCGAGCCTTGCGGCTCGATTTTTATACCGAGCGTTACCGGTTGTTGATCGATTGTTAACAACTATACAAACAAACCACGAGCTGCGTCTTTTCTTCCCAAATTGTCCATTTTTGTGCACAATCTGAGCGTCAGTTAGACAAAATTTACTATATCTCGTAATTATGATAATATCGCAGACTTTTCCTATACGATTAACCCTTAGCACTCCGAAGATTTTTCTGATAAATTTTGCAAAAATTGTGTTTTTAATGCACAAAATTGAATTCAAGTGAAAATCATCATACTGCTTTGAAACTTCATAGGAATTAATATATAAAAGATTTTGCGTTTTTATTTATGTATTTTACATAATTGTCTTACAGTATGAACATTGACATAAATATACAGGATGTCCCAAAATTATGGTATTTTCGGGAAATGAGGGGTTTCTGAGGTCATTTGCAGTGATATTTTCCTTAGCGAAAATTCAAACCGCGGTTTCGTTTACGAGTTATTAACGAAAAACAGTGACCAATGAGAGGCGACCTCGCCTAGTGCTAGACGGTCGAGCCAATAAGCGGACGAAGCTCAGTCCCGTTCATTGGCTCATTGGCGCATCGCGCCAGCCGATCTCGCTTCTCATTGGTCACTGTTTTTCGTTAATAACTTGTAAACGAAGCCGCGGATTGCATTTTAGCTAAGGAAAAAGTTACTTCAAATGATCTCAGAAATCTCTCATTTCCCGGAAGTACCATCATTTTGGAACATACAGCATATCGACGACATCCGAGTGCAAAGGGTTAAACTTTACGTTCAATGTATCGTTCCTGTTAACTCCTTGTACTATAACAATGTGTCGGACTCGTTACGAAGCCTCAGAACTTGAAATGTATTCGTCTTTTTAAAGTTGCGCTACAATTCAATTCAATTCAATTACCGTTGTTTTCATTCGGTAGTTGCTATTAACGTAAATGTGCAATAAACATCGATCTTCTAACATGTGTATGAATTTATTAACGAGAAAGAACGGCTGATCGCAACGTGGTTGCGATAAAGATCGTGGTGCAAAATTGTCCAAAAAAAACTATTTGTAGCTTCGTGCTCGTTTTGATCGGAAGAATGCAAAACGCTGCCGAAATCCAGCGTCGATCGATTCACCGACTCGCGGCAACTTTAATTTGTTCGCGCGCGCAGTTTTGTTTACATACATACAACGTATGCCGTACGGGAATTTCGTGTCGCCGATTTTGGGTAGGTAGATGGGTTAAAATAAGTCGTCGAAGAGCACGGTGAGGCGAAATCGGGCTGCGCATTTTACGGATTCGATCGTCCTCCGAGATCGTCGAGATCGCAACTTCTTCACGGGATCGTTGCGAATGGTAGAAGGCCAGATGACGGTGAACAATAAAGTTGCGGTTAAGGAGAGAACGAAACAAGGAGGAAGGTTAGTAGGTCATAATTTAACTAGAAGGATCCCTGACATTCAGAATAGTAATATACGTACAGTGACTTAGAATCGTCGCATAAAATCGTTCATCTGATTCTGCGGCTTTTTCTAACGCGAAAACATGAAAATCGTACGAAACGATTCAAATTCATACGAAGGTATGTAGTTTAACACGTTCCGTGCCGAGCTTTTTTTACTCGAATCTTCACACTTTGATATTTTACTAAAACTTGATGTATTACGTGCAATTATTAATTCTCGTACACATAACAACGTAACAAAAACTTATCAACGCCCATTCTTGCGGTGGAAATTGATTCTTCGGTTCTAAATTTCTTGTAAACAATTTGTTCAGTTCACTAAGTAAACATGCAAGCGTGTACCATCGATGGTACACGTGGCACGGAACGTGTTAATATTCCTTCGTTTGATGTGTGCAAATGGATTACAATGACTTCTGTTAAAAATCAGAAGGTTAAAGAAAACTTTGACGTCTATGCGTGTGAACTTTATTCGCGCCCAAGTTTCATAAACAATGACAAATATTTTTTGATTTATCGAATATTAACCTTTTGCACTCGCGGAGAGATAGAAGAAAAAATAAATTTCTATACAATAATGTAGTTGGAACCGATTACTGTGGGGTGACCGATTGTGTCTTTATCATAACTTCCATAGTTCGTCTCCTATCACAATCGGGCTAATGTTGTCATGGGGTTGAACTTTCGGATATGAATGGTCACGGTAACTTCATTAGAACTCTAAGTAATGTTGAAATTTTTATCAAATATAAATATTATCTTGACTCTTCACACTCTCGGAGAATTTTCTCTGATCATTAGACCGCGGATGCCTATATGTAAAATAAAAATATTCTAAGTTACTTGTACGAGATCGGAATTAGATAAATACAGATTCCGTTACTTAATCATTTAAACAAGTCGAAAATAATTTACCAACGTTCTCGGATTCATTCATATTGGCTTCGCAGTTTTGAATTTCATCGATCCGTTTTTATTATAAATCCGTAGTCTACCGATCTAACCTACCAAAAACTCGCCCGTATTCATTGAAAAGGTTGCAAATAACACTTTATAGAAAATATAAAAGATCAGAACGTTGGAAATATTTAGTTCAAATAAGTTTGCTGGAACATCCTATTGACACGGATCTCAGAAGATTGACCAAATATTAATGACTTTCCTCGAAACGTCCGATAAAAGGACGCGAAACCGCGCATCTATTTATTAATCGTCTAGTATGATTTTCATGTTCTGCGTGACTAATTTTACCCAAATCGTGAGGTATATCGCTTTGGACAACAGTCGTGGTCAAATAACAAATCTCTAGGCCACGAAAGGGCCCGAACTAAGCAATCTTCGTATGACGCGCAGTCAACAGGCATGTCGCAACAATCGTAGAAAGGACAATGCTGCGGGCTCGCTATCCCCTTCGAAAATGGCGATGCCGACCAGCCGCAACTTCGGCAACTGTTACATGGAGCTGTGCAAGCAGCAGCGTCTGCGGCCTCTGCCAGTGATCTGCGTGACCCTGCCGCACAACCTGGACTTTACGACGGATCGCGTGAAGATGGACGATTGGGGCCCAATCTTGAACTCGTTGTCTTTCGATCGTAGCTTAAAATCGATCAGTGTACGTAGCAGGTACCAGTGTCGCAAGCCGCTCGAGGAAATCAACTCCGAGGATAAAGCCAGGACGATGGGCAAAGCACCGGTCGTGCTGTCCCGCTATCTTCTGGAGTGGATGTCCCACAGCGTCGGCCAGTGCGTCCGAAACTCTCCGGTCTTGATCAGCCTCGAGCTGGAGGGCATTCCGTTTCCGCCAGACTGTTTGACGGTCCTGTGCGTGGGCCTGTCGCACACCAAGACACTGCGCTACTTGTCTTTCCAGCGGTGCTACATCGGCGACGTCTCCTGCGAGGTGCTGTGCCGCACCGTGGCCGACATTCCCAGCATCAGAACATTGAACCTCGGCTCTTGCGACCTGACGTGCAAATGCGGCCCCGTCTTGGCGGCTGCTCTGTCTCGGCAGAAGCTGTCGCTCTACCACGACACCTGGCAGCAATCGCTGCGCTACCAGGAGCCGAACCTGGAGGCGATGCCGGGACTGCGCCGCTTGACACTGAACGACAACCCGCAACTGGGTGACGCTGCGGTCATGGAGATCATCGAGGCGATTAGAGACAGCCTGTGGCTGAAGGCGGTGGACATGCAACGCTGCGGGCTGACGGACAAGATCGCGAAAGACTTGTTCGAGCTGCTCGATTACAACACCACGCTGGTCGTGCTCGATGTCAGACAGAACGCGAGTCTGAACGAGGATCTGTCGAAGCATATCATGAAGAGGCTGGGGGCGAGCAACGCGGATACGAAGTCCGAGTACAGGTGGCTAGGCTCGTCCGATCAGAGTCGAAGAGTGGTGTCAGCGGGTAGTGGGAAGCGGACCGAGAGCGAGAACAAAACGCTGGTGAGACCGCGCAGTGCTATGACGGAGTACGCGAAGAGACCGTGCCAGGGGCCGCCTAGGAACGCGATCAGTTTAACGAACAACGCGAGAAGGGCGAAGTTGAGACCACAGGTACCCCCTTATAAGAACTCGAGCGCCCAGCGGCGGCAAGTGGACCAGCAGCAGGCTGCGCAAAGCGTTGAAGCGAAGCAGAAGGTGTCCCTGCACTTGGACCTCCGATCACATATTCAATCGGTAATGGGAGAAGCAAGCGGGAACACCGCGTGCGACGAGACGTTCGACGGCAGTGCCCAGCAGGAGACCGATAGAACATCGTCGAAGAACGTTGACCTGGGCAACGGTCGAGGGACTAAAGTCGACGCGGCGACGCAAATGGCGGACGATCTGGACTTCGAGAGCTCTGCTAGGATTCGGATGATCGAGGTGCAGCTGGCTGAAGCGAAGGCGGAGCACGAGCGTCTGTTAGAGGAGACCAAACGAAGCGGTCGTTTGCTGGTCGAGGAGCGCGACCGACGCGAGGAGGCTGAGTTCGAGCTGAACGAGATGAAGAAGAACCTGGTCCAGCTGGAGGTCGCTCTGAAGGAGAAGGAGCAGGAGACGAGCGGCTCCGCAATGCTCAGCCAGCAGTCCATGGGGGAGATCTGCGGAACGTTCCAGCGTCTGCTGAATGTGCTGGATAGCGTAACCAGGAATCCGAACAGGAAAGAGACGGCTGTGGATGCTTTCGCGAAGGATGACGTGAAAAGGTGTGTCAACTCCGTCATTCGGCATACCAAGTCGGAGAACCTGAGGCGCGGCTTCACGGCCGACGTTAACGAGGAAGACTCGGTGAACGAATACACCGAGCCCGTGAAGAAGTTCGCCAAATCGGAGAGCGACATGAGATCGACTTTGCCACCGTTGTATCTCGAGAGGAACATTGGAGACAGCCCAGAGATACGATCGCCTTCGCTGGACGGTAGAATCCTGCGCCATGAAATCGAAGGCGGTTTGATGTCCCCGCGGAAGAGAGCCAGGGCATTATTCGCTCAGATCCTTCGCGGGGACGCCGTTGTTGAGTTCTCTGCTAACGCGGATTAGAAACGGCGAATGCTCAACGAAGGAGTTCGCGAAGGGATCCGAGTTTTCTAGGAAAATATATATTTCTTTTTTACTTCTACGGAACCGTGCAAATAAAAGACAAGTATATTTGAGTGAAAATGTCGAAATAGTCGTAGAATAAATGTAATGGTAAAGTAAGAAAATGGCAAAACAGAGCGAGGGTGGGAAAGAAAATTGATAGATCGGGCATCGGTCTTCCGATTTTCCCGGAGCAGAATCAATAGACTTTCAATCGTGCGCCAAAATGGGCCGCAGATCGATAATTGCTGAATTAACGAATGAACTGCGGCGTGAACTATTTATATTGCCACATTTTTCTTAGCTGCATTATTGTAGACTGAATAAACGTCATTTACTATTTCTAATCAGCATTGTTTCATTCGGATCAGCGAGTATGATTGCGCTATACTTCGAAAAACAATATTGATATAATTGATTATTTCTGATCAACGCCGATCAATTTTGTCCGTTGGAAAATTACTATGAATTTTGAAGCTCCAGATAATGTTTTCGTTCAGAATATTTTGATGAAGTACCCCTTATGATACTTATATCAATAAATACACTATTAAAGTTGTGCTCGATGTTGAGACATTTTATTATTTCTTTTTTAAATTAATCATGTACAGTCGCACGATTTCTAATACAATGTGAAATAATATGTAGATTTTGGATCTTCGCGAAAAATCGGGATTTCTCGATGCAATTTAGAGAAACAGATGTCGGATGTTTTATTTCTTCTGTGAAGAATTTTACAAGCTGTTAGCGAGTTAAAAGTAAAATGATAGCATGCTTGAATTCTTATAATATATTCTCCATTTTATGTTTTAATCAACAAAATTGATGACAGGAAAACACTGATCTTTCCAACTTATTAGCTCTTGGGTCTATTTGGACTAAAAGTATAAATGGGACTATCTAGTTTTTGACAATCGATTTAATCTTTCACATGCTTCATTAAAGTCTGTAGAAAAACTAACATGTCTAGATGATGTATCTTAAACAAAATTTTGAAAAAAGAAATTATAAACGAGATTATAAATGATCCTAGACATGCTCAGTTGTATCGTCACCAAAAAGATACGCCCCATTCGAGTGTTAAAATCATCGAGAGAAGAAACATTTGATTCCTGTTTTTTTGCAACTTCTTTGCGACTGCGGATCTTTATGCAAAATATCAATTGCAATGAACACGAGTCGCACTGAAATTTAATTCTTTCTTGAACACTTTGAACGCCGTATAATGCACACGTGGGTGACTGAATTATTTATTCAAATTTGACGACTATATCCAACGCTATAATCTGTTACAATTTCCTAATCTCGTCAAGATATACAAAATCTAAGACTGTTGAACAAATAATCGATGTCGTACAACTTTAATATAATTAAATAAAATACTTTGATTCTATAAAACTTCTGAGATTGCTAATGTGCCAGTGAAAATATTAATGACATCGGTAAGTTTTTTAAAGGTAATACTTATAAATTTTTTCCCCTTAAAATAGTAAATCCTTAAATTCGTTTAATATTTACATCGTTTCAAATTTCAGCTATCCGTTGTTCTCATAAATTCATAAAATCCAAACAAACCTAAAAACTCGTAAATAAGATTCTTCCTTTCTCGAGGACATTATTGAGTGGAGGCTAGAATAAAATATCTATCAAAATATTAACAAATAAATAAATGTAAAGCAGTCTCGTAGCAGAGGCAATATCGGCGAACAGAATGCTGAAAAACTGACATTGAATTCTCGAAAAGAGAGCGACGAGGATGAACCGAGGCATGCGAAATTCGAGAAACGTGTAGCACGTTTTGACGTCGTCCAAACAGGAACACATAATTTCCCGAGAACGTCAGTATCGACTCAAAGCGTCGTCGGAGCACACTCGCTGTCGCTTTTAACGTTCACCCCTTGGCGGTCTATGGATTTTCCATTAGTTCCAACCTGAGTACCCGATTACCTGAAAAACGGTCAGCTACGGGCTAGTAGTCAAAGGTAATTTTTCATGATAGATCACGCTCGGCGTGGCGTGTCGCGAGCGCAGTCTGCTCACGACGGCGAAAAGTATGCTGCTCTGCAGCAGAAGATCAAACGTGCCAACAACGTCGTCGGTTCTCTTGGTCTTGCCGTTGCTCCCGATGCAATCGGTGATTATCGATCGCGAGTCCTCAATGTTACCTTTAAATCCCCCCCGAGCCCCGGCCCCCGAGCCGCGCCGATCGCTTTAAAATTCATCCAGGCTTTGCGTCACCTAAATACACGCAACGGGAACGATCGCTCGGCGCGAAAATACATTTTACACTCGCTGTTCCTAGAACTGGAGCAAGGCCCTTACGCCGGGATCGCTGTTTTCGATACTTCGTCAGGTTTCATTAAGGTTTCGTTGCTAATCGTGGTCCCGGATAACTAATATTAGATCCGTTCACTAATATAGGGTGACCTGTTCAGTGAATGTGTACAGGGTGACCTGTCCAATGAATGTGTATAGGGTAACCTGTCCAGTTTAACACTTGCAAGGGAGATTTCCCAGGTATCCAATTGATATTGAGAAATCAACGATTAGAAGATTTATTAGGATAAAAGAAAATATTTATTTTCTTACTTATTATACAGTTTCATTATATAATACATTGTTGTATACCGAGTGTTTCTTTAACTTTTGCCCACACTTTTTCGTCCACTTCTGTTAATATGACAACAAAAAAGATGTTTCGTACAAATGTTTATCGGTACCCTGTTTGCTATACGACTCGGTTCAAGGTCACTCGAAGATCATGCCCTAGCACATCGTTGAAATGATCTTGACACGAGCTAGATTAGTGTGAAGTAAAAAATATGCAATGCCATTTGAAAAAAATTAAGGTGGTCCCGATTTTTTATTGAAAGGATAACAATTTTTTCAAATCAAATGTTTTACCGCATAGCAAACAGGGAACCGATAAACATTTGTACGAAACATTTTTTTGTCAGATTAACAGAAGTGCACGAAAAAATGTGGGCGAAAGTTACGGAAAGAGTGTCCTAAAAATGTATCGCGATTCGGAAATGAGGGATTCCTGAGGTTATTTGAAGTAACTTTTTCCTTAGCGAAAGTGCAATCCGTGATTTTGTTTACGAGTTATTAACGAAAAACTGTGACCAATAAGAGGCGAGCATGGCTGGCGCGAGCCGTCTAGTGCCAGCTGAAATCGCTTCTCATTGGTCAATGTTTTTCCTATGTTTAATTCCTTTTTATGATGAAAAGGAAATGAACAGTGTAGCATATCGAATATGGTATTTCGTATAACTATAATGTAATTAATAAAAATAATTATAATAACTATAAATATAACTATAACTATAATGTAGTATCACACTGATTGCGAAGATTTCGAACATAATCTATTAAATATGAATATTATATGTACTTTTTTTGAATCGAAATAAAAACCGACACTCCAATTGTCACTGCTTAAACATTAAAGTAAAGGTTGATATACAACAAATTATAACTTTTCTTTCTCATGTAGGAATTTATTAACGACAAAGAACTCGTAGTGCAAGGGGTTAACTGTCTCGTTGACACTGAATTTACCAAGTCAAGTTTTAATAAAAAACTGTATTTATTTATAAATACAGTCCATTTTTATTATAATGTATGTTTGCATTAAGAACTTGACTCAGTCATCTTCTAAGAAAGAGTTTAAACATCAGCAACTTTAAAACGTAATATGTGAAACTGGTGACAGTAATTTCTCTCTAATTGTCACTCAGCATGGAAACAGAAATAGACAATTTGAAAAGAGGAGACACGATTATTATTCCAGCGTCGCGGCTCGTTTTTAAAGTTGTTGACAATCGGCGACTATAAAAATGAGTCGCGAGACTCGAATAATCGTGTCTCCTCTTCTCAAAATGTCCATTATTTCTGTTTACATGTTGAGTGACAATTGGAGAGAATTTACTATATTTTGACCGGTTCGGTAGGTTTAGTATTAATGCTTTTATAATTCTGACAGAGAGAAATATCTAATAAATTTGTAATACCAAACTGCAGATTTCAGTAATTTCACGCACAGAAATATGAAATCGTAGGAATTTAGTAGGACATTTGTTCGAAAAGTGACATTTACTAAAATATTTCTCAGAAAAGTTTGTATATGTTATCAGATATATTTATTAGAATATTCGTTAGCAAAGTGACATTTACTGCAACATTTCCCGGATAAGTGACCCTTATTCGAATATTCATTTGAAAAGCGACATTTATTAGAATAATAGCAGAGCTTATATCTAACGTTTATTAACCACGTCAGTATAAGAACTTCGAAAAGAAACGATCATCACTCACCCAAAAACACCGACGGCAACCGCAGCTTCCCGAAGCGCACGCTCCTGGTCCATCTCGACGAGAGCCTCTGGTCTGATGGTGGCAGTGTTTCTGGGTTGCCGTTCATTTTGCACGGCTGCAACAGAAGCGCACACCTTCGATGTAACGTCGATAACAGGCGTTAATTGCAGCCACGAATTAATTACACGCTGGTAAATTAACGCGAACTGTTCCCGTGCACCGTCGCGCACACGTGACATTGCTATTCGTGGTAATGTCTTTCAAAATTGACGCGCTCGAACATTGTAATCATCGATTCCACGAGGAGGCGAACTTACACAGACGCCCGATTTTTAACGAACAGAAAGAGGAAGTTCAGTGCGAAATTTATGTTTAATTTATGTTTAAAAAATTTGAAAGGAAAACTTGAAGTTCGAACTTCAAGACAAAGTTGGAATCCGAATATTAACCCTTCGCATTCCTTTTGCTACGACTGTCGTCGATCGGCTTAGCCTCTTACAATATTCCTTAACACTTTCACAACCGCTGACACCACTGCGGTGTCATGGGCAGGCCAGTTGTATGCCGGTGACACTCATGTGGTGTCATTGGTAGACCAGTCGTTATTTGCCGGTGACACTCACGTGGTACCATTGATCTGTCTCTTATACACATCTCTGTGAACATCACAGTGAGCTGTAAATACCTTTTCTGTCTCGTTACTGTCACAGTACTATCTGTACAGTACACAGTCTGTCTCTTATACACATCTCTGTGAACATCACAGTGAGCTGTAAATACCTTTTCTGTCTCGTTACTGTCACAGTACTATCTGTACAGTACACAGTCTGTCTCTTATACACATCTCTGTGAACATCACAGTGAGCTGTAAATACCTTTTCTGTCTCGTTACTGTCACAGTACTATCTGTACAGTACACAGTCTGTCTCTTATACACATCTCTGTGAACATCACAGTGAGCTGTAAATACCTTTTCTGTCTCGTTACTGTCACAGTACTATCTGTACAGTACACAGTCTGTCTCTTATACACATCTCTGTGAACATCACAGTGAGCTGTAAATACCTTTTCTGTCTCGTTACTGTCACAGTACTATCTGTACAGTACACAGTCTGTCTCTTATACACATCTCTGTGAACATCACAGTGAGCTGTAAATACCTTTTCTGTCTCGTTACTGTCACAGTACTATCTGTACAGTACACAGTCTGTCTCTTATACACATCTCTGTGAACATCACAGTGAGCTGTAAATACCTTTTCTGTCTCGTTACTGTCACAGTACTATCTGTACAGTACACAGTCTGTCTCTTATACACATCTCTGTGAACATCACAGTGAGCTGTAAATACCTTTTCTGTCTCGTTACTGTCACAGTACTATCTGTACAGTACACAGTCTGTCTCTTATACACATCTCTGTGAACATCACAGTGAGCTGTAAATACCTTTTCTGTCTCGTTACTGTCACAGTACTATCTGTACAGTACACAGTCTGTCTCTTATACACATCTCTGTGAACATCACAGTGAGCTGTAAATACCTTTTCTGTCTCGTTACTGTCACAGTACTATCTGTACAGTACACAGTCTGTCTCTTATACACATCTCTGTGAACATCACAGTGAGCTGTAAATACCTTTTCTGTCTCGTTACTGTCACAGTACTATCTGTACAGTACACAGTCTGTCTCTTATACACATCTCTGTGAACATCACAGTGAGCTGTAAATACCTTTTCTGTCTCGTTACTGTCACAGTACTATCTGTACAGTACACAGTCTGTCTCTTATACACATCTTTTATATTATATTTTTTTATATTTTAAGTAATTTTAAACTTAAATCACTAGACCTCTATGAAAAATTAACAAAAATCAACAGTCTTCGCAGGCGCCTCTGCGACGTAGCTTATCTTTCTCGGGTTAATAACGTGCGGTTGTGAAAGTGTTAAGCACTGTGAACATCACAGTGAGCTGTAAATACCTTTTCTGTCTCGTGACTGTCACAGTACTATCTGTACAGTACACAGTACTATCACGTCAAAAATACAACTACGGTGTGGACGCAAGTTTTAAGATGGAACGTAGATGGAATGTGGAACGTGGATTCGTAGATTGAATAATTTTTACGTCTGCTCAGGGAAACCGTCGTCTTGTATAATCGGTTGCTGCAATTCCGAAGAAGGAGACACATGAAACTTGCAGGGGAGCGCGGGGTAATTCCGGAAAAGGGCCTGGGGGTGTACAGTAAATTCTCCGCAATTGTCCCTCAGCTTGTAAACAAAAATGAATAATTTGTTGAAACGAGACGCAAGGCTCAAATAACTGTGTATCTTCTCTTCCCAAATTGTCCATTTTTGTTTACAAGTTGAAGGACAATTGGGGGAGTTTATCGTAATATGATCGAATTTGCACCTGCAGCTTTTTCAATAAATATTACATCGTTCGATCGGTGACTAAGATAAAACTCTTTATCAAAACTCGAGTTGTGATGAATGAAAATGGTGAAGGCACCTATTATGAAACACCGCTCAATCGTAACCCCTTCTTGATGCAATAACACAAACAATGCAATAGAAAATAGATTAGAGCATACGAAAGTGAATGTAAAAAGTCTAACCATATTTTTGAACATTGTTCTTTATGAAGTCACTCACGGAAATACTATTGTGTAACAATCTACTGTTAGAAAAAAATGTTTGTTTGAGTATGGGTGTTTCTGAGCAAGAACATAACTTAAATTTTTTCACTGTTATGAAACATAGATACATGGCACGCAGGGCTGGGGAAAAATAGAATTTAAAAATAGTAAATGGACTATAGAAATATACTTTTACCTTCTCACATAATACAGAATTTAGCAAATAAACTTTCTTCGAAATAGTGTTTTAGTTACATATGGAAATGGCATTTCAAACATATTTAACTACGTATTGTTCGTACGTAATTACTATATAAAAAATGGTTTATTTGCTAAATTCTGTATGTCGTGAGAAAATAGAAATATTTATTTATTTTTTTATTTTATTTTTTATTATTCCCCAGCCCTAATGGTACGAAAACGGTGTTCCATATTAGGTATACGCTCGTATTTTACTATTTCATTCGTATTAGATAAATATTTCAAGGTGAATTACGTTATACAGAAACATCGATCTATCGAACAGTAATATAAACATTCAACCTTTCAGTTATAATAAAATCGGTGATAATCTTATACCCCCTGAGAAGCATTCCATAATACGTGCTTTTATTTTATGCCGTGATTTTTCAATCAAAATAGTTAATTTTATGGGCCTATTAAGTGTTAGGGGTAAAGTATTACATAATAAATAATAAATTACAAGAAATCTGTTGCAATCTCTTTGAAATGTGTTTTGTGGCTACTATAATACAAAATTAAGTTGTGATTAAACGATTGCTTTATATTTTAATTTTATTACTAAATTTTATTACTAAATATTGGCAATAAAATTAAAAAATATAACAGTCATTTCATTACAACTTAATTCCATATTAAAACAACCACACATACACTTTTCTTCGTGACGAGCATACTCGTCGAAAAAACTTAAAATTAAGTAAATTTAAAATATTTAAATATGACTAGACAGTGGATTTTATGCAGCTATGACAAAAATAAGTAATATTCTCTATTTTGATTTTTATTGTTATTGTTATTTGCAACCCTATTTTTTTGTCTTCCGTATAACAAAGCGTTTCCCTCCTGATCTTAATAAAACTAAAACTAAAATAAATGTAACATCTAATAATGTGCTGCTGGATTATTTTCAACTTATTAAAAATATTAAGAATTAAAAGAAATTTTTATTGAAATCGCGTTTGCTGTGCGATTGAGGTAGTGATTTCTTATTTTGCATAAAGATTCGCAATCTATATAGGATATTACATATTGTAAAATTACATAGTACAATTTATACATTTCTCTCGACGATTTTTAATATCGTATCCATCCCTATTCAGAAGGACATTGATATTATTCGATTCAGAATCAAATCAGAGACATGCGTGTTTATTTGCCGGCTAAATTTAGTACAGCGTATAAATTAGTATGTTGGAACACAAAATTGCGTGACTCAATGATTTTTTTCATGAGATGTACTCAACTGATCGAATCATCCATCTGGAAGACAACTATAAAAGGTGAACATTGAGCAACTTTAATGTATTACCATGCAAGGGATCGTCTTTGTTCGAACGATGAAAATTTCGGACGGTTCCGGAGGAATAAAACCGCCGGCCGCGGATGAGGCAATCGACCGAAAGAGGCTGCCGACAAACGTTCCATCGAATATTCTTCGATAATGCGTTCACCGCATAGAAAATCCACAGCCCCGGGGAGTTTCTTGGTTATTGAAATATTAGTGGAACGAGACTTGGTTCGAGGAGTCTTGCTCGATTAATCGGAGAACAAACGATTGGCCGCCGCCACCCTCTCGTCAAATTCACGTAACGCGCCGTTATATCACGCCAGCGGCCTGTGTCTGACAAGCGTGGATTTAACAGACGTGCAGGAATCAGCTGCGTTTATTGTTTGTATATATTGCTGTTCGATAAACTCCTGTTCGGCGGCCAGCTAAATACGTTCTCCTCTTTCAAAATAAGTATTCGCACATTGTTCTTTGTGTTCAAGCTATTTTTAGAAACATGTCAACTGTTTTTCGTAACTCTTGTAAGCTCGTCTGAAACAGAATTGAGCATTGTACGGATCGTTTCGAATAAACATTTATCTAAGATAATTATCCGAATGAAAATTCCTCCTAGTCGAACATTATATTCGTTATTTGTCATAAATTATTCCATCTATTCAGTCGAATAATTCTTTATCTCGAAATGATTCTTTATTATAATAATTGAATTCTTTATTTACATCTTGTCGAATTAATTAATATCCGCGGAATGTAAGAACGTTGAAAGAGTAAAAGATAAAATTAATTTGATTAGTCAACAATTCGGTTAAGGAAAACGAATATCATTTTCACTGTATTTTAAAATCGAAAATCTCTTGGTTCGCGAGAAACAATTTTCCCTTGTCACGATTTTTCTAAAACGATCCGTGGAGATTCCTGTTTCGCTGCTACGATAAGAGCCTCGCTAT